TATTTTATTAATATATATTATTTTAATAATAATAATTATTAATTTTTATATTAGTTATATGTGGTTTAATAAAGGTTAAATATTAATTTAATAAAATAAGTTAAACGAAAAATAATTAATTATTTTAATTATAATTTTTTAATATTTAAATAAAATTAACGTAATATGTTTAATATAAATTATTAATAATGATAATATTATAAAAGATTTTTTAATAAATAACGATTAATTATTTTTTTATTTAAAAAGTAAAAGTAATATTAAAAAAAGCGTTATAATTAAAATATTAATTAAAGTTTTTAAAAATAAAAGATTTTATAAAAAAATTAAATTTATTGTTATATTAAGATTTATAAAAGCTTATATTAATAGTATTATTATTTATTTTATGGTAGTTTTTTTTATTATTATGTTTTAAGGTTTTTTATTTGGAAAATAAATTATTTGGAAATAAATTAATATTTTGGTAATAAATAAATATAATATGATAAATGGAGTTAATTTTTATATAATATATTTTTAATTTTAAAAAATATAAGATAAATTTAACGAAAATTTTAATAAAATATTAATTATAATTTTTTATGGTAATTTTTATTAATTTAAATTAATTTAAAAAAAATTTTTATTATATTTTAAAAAAGTAATAAATTAAAAAAAATATAAAGAAATTGGAGAATTATTTAAAATAATAAATAATAATTATTTTTTAAATTATATTTTATGGTAAAAATTTATTATAATTGTTTTTTTAAATTAATAAATAAAAATAATAAATATTTGGTTTTTAGGTTTATTTAAATAATTAAAAAGAAATTTATAAATAAGTAATAATGTTAACGTTTTAAATGTAAAGTTAATAAAATTAAAATATATATTTTTAAATAAAAAGTGTAAAGTTATAATTTTTTTAAATTTAATATAATATATAATAAATTTATAAGTTTATATAATTTTTGTTAAAAAATAAAAGTAAAAGGTTTATATTTTTTTATTAAAATATATATTTAAAATTTAAAAAAAAAAAAAATTTAAAACGTTTATAAAAGTTTTTAAAATGATAAATAATTTAATTTTAAAAATATTAATTTATTTAATATTAATAAAAAATATATTTATTATTTTAATAATAAATAATTATTAAGTTTTAAAAATAGTTAATAATATTAAATATATAATAAAAACGTTTATTTTTAATTTAAATTCTTTTATATATATGGTTAATTCGAATATTTTTTTTATTATAAAATTATTAAAAATAATTTTAATATTATTATTAATTATATTTAAAATTTATTTATTAGGTTTAAATAAAAGTTTTTTATTTTTATTTTTAAATAAAATTTACGTATTAAATGAAAATAAAGCTTTTATATATGTTAAATCTTTTGATTAATTAAATTTTATATTTATATTAACGTTTATAATTATAAAGTTTAAAATTTAAAATTAAACTTTATTTAAAATATATTTAAATTTTATAATAAAATAAATTAATAAAAAAGAAATTAATAAGAAAAAAATTAACTTTATAATAATTTATATATAATTTTTAAAAATTATAAATTTTAAAAAGTTTTAATTATTATTATTTATTAATAAAAATTATTAAACTTTATTAAAATTATTATTTTAAATAAAAATAAATATTAATTGTTTAATTTAATTTAATAAAATAATAATAATTAATTATTGTTTTATTATAATATAATTTAACTGTTAATAATTTTTTTTTTTTTTTTAAAAGAAAAACCAAATTTAACCTTTTAAATTTACTAATATAAATATGGAATATTAATAAAAAAAATATAAAATAAAAAAGATTAAATATAAAAGAAAATTATAAAAAAAAAACCAAAAAAATAAATATAAAATAACTTTTTTATAAATAATAATTATTTAAAGTTTTTAATTTAATTATAATTTTAATAATTATAATTTTAATAATTATAATTTTAATAATTATAATTTTAATAATTATAATTTTAATTTAAAATAATATAATACTTAAACTTTATCGGTAATTTAAAATTTATTAACGGTTTAAAATTGGTTAATAATTTAAGGTTTATTTAAATCTTTTATAAAAATAAAATTATTATAATTTATAATTTATTTATTTAATAAAATAATGTAATTATAAATATAATAATACCGTTTATATTTTCGATTTCCTTTTTTTTAAATATTATAAAATAATATAAAACTGTTTTGTATAACATTTAAATTAAAGGTTTTATTATTAATAATTTTTATAAAAATTTAATATAATTTTTAAAAATTATTTATAATAGGTTTTAAAAAAAGATAATTTATTTATAAAATATTAATATTAAATATATATTATATAATTAAAAATAAATAAAATGTAATAATATAAATAAAGTAATAATTAAACGATTTTTTATTATAATATTTATTATAAATAATAAATTTTATTAATATTAAAAAATAATTAATTAAAAAGTTATAATAAATAAATAATAATTATTTAACGTATAATATAATAAATTATAATAAATTATTTTTAATAATTTATTATTTTTAAAAAAAAAGCGTATATTTGTTATAATTTTATAATAATTTTAATATATAATTTTACGTTTAAAAATAATATTTAAAATTTTAATATTTTATAAAATTATAAAAGAATAATTATAAACGTTTAATATATTAAATAATAGTAAAATATTATATAAATAATTATTATTAAAATTAAAAAAAGTTAAAAAAAAGAAAAAAAGAATTATTAAAATAAAAATTATTTATACCCCGCGCGGGATAAAAAAAGTAAAAATAACTATTTATATAAAAAAATTATTATATAAATATAAAAAGTGTAATAATTAAAATATAATTAGTTATTTAAATTTAATTATATAAAGTTATATTATATAATTAATATATATTAATTAAAATAATAAAAAAAGTTATTTTAATAAATTTTTTAATAATTTAATTAATTTAATATTAAAAAATAAATTAAATTTTATTTTTAATATTTTAAAAATTTTTAATTTTTAAATATATTTTATTTATAATATAGTTATATTATAATAAAAATAATAATTTTAATTTTTAACTTTTTATTATTTATTTATTAATATAATATAATTTTTTTTTAATATTATAATAATGTATATTATTATTATTTATAATAAATATAAATTAATAATATTTATTTATTTATATTTTTTATTTTATTATTTATTTATAATTTATATAATTTATATTTAATTTATAATTTTATATAATTAATATTTAAATTTAAATGTTTATAATTTAATTTATTTAATATTAAATAATGTTATTTATATGTTATAATTATAAGTAAGTTATTTTTTATAAAAGTTTTAATAATATTAATATTAAAAAGGCTAAAAATGTTACTGGCGTAAAAAGTAAAAATGTCATTAAAGTAAAAGGTAAAAATGTTATTAAAATAAAAGGTAATAATATTATTAAAGTAAAAAGTAACAATATTATTAAAGTAAAATGTAAAAATATTATTAAAATAAAAGTTAAAATTAAAAATTTATAAAAATTAATATATATTATTTTAAAATATATTATTAATTTAAAACGTTATAGTATAAATTTAAATTTATTTTTTTATTTAACCGGTTTAAATTATATTATTATTAAATTATATTTAAAATTATTTAACGTAATTTTTATTTTTTATTGTAATATATTTTATTTAATAGTTTTTATTTTTTTTATTTTTAATAATTTTAATAAAAAGTTATTAAATAGTTTTAAAAAAATATATATATTTTATTTAAATTAAAATATTAAAATTTACGTTTATTATATATTTTATATATAATACATTTTTTTAATAATGTAAAAATTTATTAAATTAAATTATAAAATAATTTTTTAACGTTATAAATATTTTAGTTTAAAATATTTATATAAAAATATAAATAATATTTTTAATTATAAATTTCTTAATATTTAAAAAATTTAAAAATATTTTAAAAAAAAGTTAAATATATATATATATTTAATTAATATTATTAAAATTATTAAAACTATTTATTAAATAAAATTAATTATAATTATATAAAATTATTTTTATTTATTTATTAAAATTTATAAAAAAAATTTATTAAAAAAAATTAAATTTTATTTTTAATAAATAAATTTAATTTTTATAAAAGATTTTTTTTATATAATTTAATTTTTAAAAATTTATATATTGATATTATTTATAAATTTAAAGATATATTTTATTTAAATTAATTAAAATGGGAAATTAATTTTATATATTTTAAAAAATATTTTTATATTTAATGCGTTATAAAAACGGTGGTCCCCGAATTTTGAAATATAATAAAATAAAATTATTAATAAAAAAATAAAAAAATAAAAAGAAAATAATAATGATAATATGTTTTTTAATTTATTAAATAAAAAAAAATATAATAAAAATAATAAATTTAATATTAAAAAATATTTAAAAAAAATAAATAAAAGATTAAAAAATATAAAAAAAAAATTAAAAATTATTAAAATAACTGTAAAAAATATTAAAACTAATAAAATTAAATTTTTTAAATTTGTTTAAAAATTAACGGAAAATGTAAATAATATTATAATAAAATTAAAATAAAATAATTTTAAATCGGTTAATATTAACGTTAATATTGATTTTTTTATAAAAATAAACGATTTTTAAAAATAATAAATAATATTTATTTTTATTATTATATTATATTTAATTAAAAATTGTTATTAGTTTAAAAAATTAATAAATAATATTTTTATTAATATTTAAATTATTATTAAAAAAGTTATATTATATAGTATAAAAGATAAAATAATTAAATATATTTTTAATTAATTAAAAAATGTAATATTTTAATATATTTTAACAATTTTTATATATATTTATATAAAAGGGTTGTTTAATCTAATTAGTTGTAAATTTGGGCTATTGTGTAGCCCCGGGGGGTTGCCTCCTGTTAATGTAAAACAATACCTTGCTAAGAAACGTGCTGATCTGACCTAGACCTTGGTGAGATCATGATATGGTAGCAAAGTGTGGTAGGTCCTAGGATAATGTATGTACGGTCGTTATAGGACTTTAATAGGGCTTCTGCAATTGGGCCAGTACAGGTGATTAGGGGATTTGTTTCGGTTTGCTTCGATTTCGGAATTCTAGATAAACTTTGCTGTACGTAGTCGATAGTTCTCTGTCGGAATGCAGAAGCTGCACTCCAGTCATTGATTATTGTCGAAATCTCCGCCGAGTCCGTCTCTAGATAAGTCATTTAATAAGAGACAAATTATACATCTGCGATTTGGATGACCGACATACCATCGTCCCAAGCAAAGAGCTTTCAGCAATATTAGTTAGTCAGAATTAGTGTGATGGTGGTTCTGTACCCCTCACCCAGATAACCAAGCGCGCAACAGTTTCCAACGTCTCGTACGATGCGTACGGCCACCACGTACCAGCGAAGGGGCCTACATGAGTTTCTTTCAATTTACGGAGCCGGGCATTATTATTTGTCGAGGACGAAAGACTGCAATATATGAGTTGGTAGAGGATTTAAGAGTGGAGCATACCAGGTAGTTACTTTGCAATTGTCTCTTGGACGTATTTATCTATCCTTTCAACATCTGGATGGCTTCTTTGGGGCCAGTGGCTGATCATTGTTTGCATATCGGGGATAATCACTTGAGACCCTCGTATACTCGATAGAAGCTGCTCCCGTGGGCCGTCTGGGGGCAACAGGGGCTGGGCATCTAGGTTTACTGCTTTTACCTCCTGGATAGTGGCCATTATATTGGTTTTGAGTAAGAGAAGTGCATATAGGGTTGTATAACAAGGTATAGTGAGGGATGACCGATCATAAGCAATAATCCACGGGGTAAAGTCACTATTTATATTCTATCGATTTGGCAAAGAGGACGGACTTAGGCGAGATATTAAACCCCGGCATTTGAGGCTGTCCTGAATTCATCATAGCCCGATAGTTCTTGACGTATAATCATTATAAGAGGCTGCAGGTTACATCGAGTTTATGTCTCTTACGAGAGGAAGTTATATGCGTGATTATACCCAAACTGTAGCCATTCCCCATGCAATGGAGTTTCGGGATTTGCTTTATGTCTGAGTGCCATCCATAGGTGTTAGCAATAAGCAGCGATCATATTTCTGATATTGTAGCGTCTTATATTGAAGGCTAGAATTAAGATGGTATTTTTTTTTTAAAAAAAAAAAAAATGGTATCACATAGCTGCAATGATATCTTAATATTTTGGGGGCTTATGTTGAGTTGAGAGTTGATGGTGTCGAGCCATGCGACTACGTTTTGAGGCCGAAAGGGACACTCTGAATTATGGTATATTTAATCGCTTATACGCACCTGGGTACCCATGTATCTAACTACTGGTTCTAATACTATAATGTCACTAGAGTTTGTCGTTTTTATGAATTTTAGTAAGATCATTAAGCTCTGACACCGTTCAATATTGTCATGGTGGTACGATGATCTGGAGATATGAATTGCGCTAATGCTAAAGTCTTTATCATGAAGCCCATGGAAATAAAGTCAAAATATGTTTCACCTAGGGGTTACATTGTCGGAAGAAGCGGATGTAGTGTGATTTTCACAAGTTACATAGTATATGCAGGTAATCTCGCAAACACTTTCAACTATCTGTTATAAAGCTGCTGATGGCTTTTCTGGGACGTATGCGGGAGTTGGAGACATCTTCATCGAGATCTTAGATAGCTGTTAGAGGGTGCCATGATGCAAGCCCAGTAGTGAGAGCATTCCGTGGTTACACGAAGAACTGGATACCTTAGGGACCTATCTAATCACTTCGCGATCTTAAATCCTAATAAGCGACTTTAATCGCCTATCAGTTGAACGCAAGATGACTCGGTGTTCGTATATGTTACCGGGGCTTATAAATGTTGAGGATCTGTTTCTTTTTTCTTTGGTAAGTTTTTATGTTGAAAGTGAGTAGGTGATTAATTTACATCAGAACTAATGATTCACTTATTGTGACATACATCAAGGGTTCTTTCTGACATAGGGGTAGCTACAGGGGTTTATCTACTATATAAGGGGCGCGCAACGCCCTCGTAAGAGGATAGAAGGCCAGGCGTTACAAGTTCAATACTATCTACCACTTGATCTACGATTCTACCTATCCTAGACACTCACTCCGTGTATGACATCCATCAAAGGGTATAAATCCTGACAGTTACCTATCTAGCCCTAAGCATCAACATTAGCTTTACATGTAACTAGGTGTAAAAAAAAAAAAAAGGCTGTTGATCCCGTTGGAACCGCCAAGCATACCACCCTGAGAAAAAGTCAACTTGGTATCACCTAGCTCGGCCTGTTCTCAAGAGACTACCAGTCACTGGTCTCAAAGTCTATTCAACTTGCGAGAAACGCCTGGTTCATAGAGGCTAGAATGGAAGACTACTATGCTTACCTGCACTAATAAAGTCATTATATTTCGCGTACAGTTCGCGTATGTAGAGATAGTCTTTAGAATCTCTACATGTATAGAGATGTTGAAGTTTAGTGAACCGTGACCAGATCACATGAAAGCCTGTTTTGTTTAAACAACGAAAGAGACACTAAGCCTTGGAATATGGTAAAAATATTCAATATCCGCGTAAAGGTACCTAAGGTATATTATATGAGAAGATGTAAACCCTGTAAATCTATCATCCTAACGCTTAATGTTGAATTTGCATCTCTATACAGTGGCCAATATAACGCATTCTATTCTACTTTTTTGTATAAGAGCGTTGGTTGCACTTTTAAACCTACTTAAGTTTAAAAATAGGTACTTTTATATGCTCATGTCATTTCCTTAGCCTTAGGTATAGGTAGTTTTCTATGATTTGATATCTAACCCTCGTGTGTTATCCTAGACATTAGCTTCTCTAGTTATTTAGTGTAAGCACCTGTCTGGCAGCCAATGTCGATGGCTTTGTAGCCCTAAATCTAGTCCTATAGCCTCTATAGAAATGCACCCCGCACCCCACTAATCCTTAGCCCAAACTTCCATTAGCCAAAGCGCTACTCTATAGCTAGCTGGCACTTTGAGAGAATGAGATAAGACATGCATCACATCTTTTGGAGTTCGATCTTGGGTCTATGAGATATTGGTTTTAATTTTCTTATGCTTAACCTAAATCTCTATGGTAGTCAATAAGGCTGCTAATAGGGGTTATTCAGAGTAGGAAGTCCTTACTTCCCGTAGTTCCTCTTTACTAGCCAGTTCAGCTGTTGTGTTCGTGGATTGGTCAAACAGTATTCTTTTTTCTCTCTAGACTTGCGCTCGAACAATTCGGTCATAGGCACCTTAGGAGGTAATCCGTACCTAAGTGCGGGTACCATTTCTATTGTGGAGCGGAATGAATTATCCCTGTCGTATCACGTGGATTTATTAGTCCAATAAACGATGACTAACCTAAATGAGGCTGTCTGATTTGGACTCTGCCCCATTAATCCCATCAGTTGAATCGGATCCCGGCAGTCGCTCTTTCACAAAGCCATCAACTAGTATTATTTAGTATTATTATTAGCCGTGAGGTTTAGGAAAGCGCCCTTGAAGGTTTCAATGATTTTTAATCGCGTGGGTGGCCCTGACAGAATAGGTTCTAGTCAGATCGTTAGATCACATATTCTTCTGCTGGTCTGTTTGCGTGGCCACCGCTAGGTTGCCGTGATTGCCGTGGCGATTGTTGGTCAATGTACATCTGGTCATCATCATCGTCACCTTGGTCGACTTACTGATTATGTATATTGGCGTTCCGATTATCCGTACCACGGCATCGGATTCCCGCCTGCCCACATGCATTCCCTACATTCATGATCGCCACAAGGTTGGCGTAGTGGAATTTGTCACGAAAGCCTGCGTTTAAGTACACGCTTAAGTTGCCGCCTCAGCCGCCTCAGCCTCCAGCAGATACCGTAAGTCAAAACCCAAAAAAAAAAACTTTAAAATCCGAGACTCTCTTACCCATCAAACAAAAGAGAGACCTGCATCAAAGTTACCAGCAAGGGTCGCACCTAAACAAATATATTTTTCGAGACCTTTCGAGCCCAGTTAAATCCCCAGGTCGAAGCACACGCAAGTGGCTGCATATTCGTGCCGTACTATCCACCATTACTCATCTCATTTATGTAACTTCGATAATAACCTACATTTACCTACATTAACTTCCTCGGCGTGGCGTACCTATTTCCGAACTCTTGCATACCTACCTATTCCGTCTTACATATTTAATAACCCGAGTTCTGTCCCCTCCGCCCTGTCCGATTCCTAAATATTTCTTACCGACTTTGCAACTTTGCAACTTTCTCCTGAATCGTACCGAACTCCATGTCTCGAGAAGCATAGCAATATTTCTCCTGACAACGTGAATGTGGACCGGATAACGGCACCAAATTAATAAGACCCTCTTACTGTCTCCATCTTCTGGAATTGTTCAAGCGCGCGGTTGATTGATTGCCAAGCAATTTCCAATACAAAGAGCCGAACCCTGTCATTCTTTCTTGGCATTGGTGTCAGCCCCGGCTGGAATCTCAGCATTGCTTTCAGGTTACCTCCTTTCAGGTGAGCAAGCATTTCTGTCTGCTCAATCATATTCGTCAGCTGGGGCGCAGCTCGGTAGGCTGCTAAAATACTATCAAAATACCAGAACAAAGCCGCCCGAAATCTTCAACTACGTCAAGTGACGCTGTCCAATTATATTTCTTAAATGAGCTAATTCGCTTATCGACGTTATTCCGTCCGAACCTGTCTTGTCGAGGACATGGTATACTTGAACCCCATGCGATCCGAGTGTAGAGAGTAGCCAGGGGTAGGACGACGAAGCGGATTAGATATTTATTATGATGATATTCATCACCGTCGCTCAAGGAGCTTGATTCCATTATTATTCCACCCCGTACCACCCGATCTAACAAATCTACGATCTTGTCTTCTCTTCCTGTTGTTTCTACTCTTTTCCTCGTGCCTCAATCCCTGCCTATGAAAGTCTTCGGCCTCCCCCACCTCACGAAATAAAGCTTAAATCGGGGTGGCCGTGTGCGTACATAAGACTCGGCCATAGCTTACGTCTTTCATTGGATACAAGGTCTCGTTCTCTACGGCACACAGAACTAAGACAAAGCTATAGACTATTCTGTCACCATGTCGGACTCAAGCAGCAGTCGACGGACAAGTCGCAACTACGATACTGGCTTTCCGGATGCATTCGCTGAATATACCACTTCTCTGCGTCATCCAGACGCAAACGTTAGTCCAGGGGCTTGTATTTCAGCCGAGGATATTGATCCGTCGAAAACACTACACCGGACGCATAGGTCCTTCCTAGCGAAGCATAAGCGTACCATCGCTCACGGTAGAATCGGTCAGAACACGAGCCAAAAACGCTCGAACAGTTCGGTCGTGATCATTCCTACAGCTGACAGTGCTGTTGACGTAGGTGACCTGAAACGTACAGGCACGAACGGAAGCATTGGACATTCGTCTAAGGATGGGGCCGAGAGCATCGACCGCGTGGAGGTATCTACTAACGGGGATTGCTCTCCGTCCTCCCCCACAGACGAAGATGACCTCGCTGACGATGGGCGACAAAGAAACAAGCTCTTCCGAAAATGGCGCCTTCAGAAGGACTAAGTGAATTGGGGCGGACGGTCGACGATAGACTGCGACAATTATTGAATCACGGGTAAAGAGTTGCTATCAGCTGTTAGGAGTCGGGGATGTTAGATAGGTAACTAGTAATTTGCGACTTGGGGGCTCGACACCGAGGGGGGGGCTTGCTTCAAAATTTGGTTATCAGCATGGAGTATGGCTCATGGTGGAGTTTGGAGGTTTTGATAAAATAATCAATTAGAAAAAGAGTTTGGAAAAAAGTACAACCTTAGCTGCATATCACCTAGGTACATTTCTGAATATGGTCTACGGCTTTTTAGAAGGTACCGTCGCAATACATGTTTAATCTCTCTTTCCTCTTTCCTCTTTTAAACACACTACTGAATCCTATATTTATTTGCACGTCGACGTTCCCGTACAATCCCGCGGCGCATTCAGCAGTATCTCAATTTGTTCGTAAATCAATATCGTCTCGAATACGCCGAGTTTATTTACATCTAACTGTATCTTAAGCACGTCAACATGACAGATTCATCCACGATAGACAATGATACGCCAGAATGTCCCAGCGACGCAGTATCTTTCCCGCTTCAGGATCTTCCTCCTGAGATCCGAGAGTTGGTCTGGATAATGGCCGCCGAGCAGGCTGCAGACGCGTTCAGACACAAATATCCCGACTTCAACCGCTTCTGGTCCGCTCAGCACAGGCCCCCCTATATTTATTTCACAGCGGACACGATAGATAATAGGGGTGATTCCTATCCTTCCATTGTACGGGACTTGCGAGGTTTCTTCTGGCCGCTCTTTCTAACGAATACGGAGAGCCACGCAATCGTCAGCCGATATATCTCGATGTTCCACCAACGAAGAAAGGCGCCCCAACTCACTCTCAATTTCGTTGATATATTCACTCTAGGACAAGCTTTGCTTGACTACATCATCCAGTTTTCAAGACGATCGACTGAGGCACTAAGAAGCAAAGCTACCATAGAATTTACTGGTCGCTATCCCGCGGTGCTACAAGCCGCTTTCGAAGACCAGTTGGAAGAAATTGCCTCGGTCATGAACGTGTCGATCCGCGCTTCGATGTTCGCGAAACCCGAGACCAACCAAGCGCGTCTATTAATGCTGCTTCAATTTATAAACCTGAAGAGAGTGTACATCGATGTATGGGGCCTGCGCCATTGCGATTACGAAAACCTCTATCGCGGCCAAGTAGGCGTGTTCGTAGAACTGAGCAAGTTCCGTAACGGCAAATTTAGAATGAAGTACAACGACTTCGACAGCTTCTTCCAAGCGTACCGAGACAGTTCCGGCAGGTTCGGCGGAGACGCTGATGCTCGTGAGCTCGCTCGTGTAGCTACAGGCGTATGGGAAGACGTGCAGGCATAGGAGCAGCGGGCCTTGCGCAATTTCCTCGAGATGCTAGACGCATTCACCAAGAAAGACATCGAGTGCGTCGTTGTCTGCCCCTGTATGGTGAACGATGCAGCTCACCTTACTTCAGAGCAGCCTTGAAGGAAATGCCTGGTTGCTGAGAGGGCATGTTTTAGGACTGCGTTAGGATATGTGGATTGTGTTGCGCGGAGAATTTGTACGATAAATGATTAAATCTTCTCTCGGGGTTCGTGGTGTTGAGCATTCTGCTTATCCTCGTTTGATTGGTATGCTCTCTTTAGGCATGTCAACTTGTAGTAGAATAGCACCCCGAGCATTATAGGTAGATTACATTAGGTAGTCATGACTCTTAATGTTAATTGGCATCTCTAGTATGACCACTTGCGTCCTAATGCTATAACTGCGATATATCGTCGCAACATAACTTTAGGTAGTTTTCAAGACCTGGTATCTTGTCTTAACCTATGTTGCAAGCATTAGTGGCCATGTGGCTCGCAAAATACTTCGATTGAAGCACATCACATATAAAGACGGAACAGGGAACTTTCTTAGACGTAGGAGATGATTTCCTTCAAAGCTGTGAAGGTAAACGGCTTCTACTAGTGACTTAATACTGATATCTGACAATGGACCTCTACACAACTAGCTTAACAACATCAGTTCGTTAGATAGGAACGTTTCAGGAGCTTAGCGCCAAAGCAATAAACAGGAAGATGAATATCGCATGTGTTTTATCCAAATAATAACTGCTGTGTAACCAAAGTCCTAAACTTGCTTTTTGGTAAGGGGGGATTTAGACCAGCCAGCCACTCTCCTTCTTCAACGATTCCTTCCAGCTCTCACCATCCAATCGCGAGAGCTGTTTAACGCTGTCGACGTCCTCGGCGCCGAAGTTGCCGTACAGATGCGGACATCCTTCAATCTCCCACGTCGTTGCAGAGTGAAACTTAGGAGCAAACCGGAGCTTAAGAACCCAGATAGACGTTGCCTCTTTGAAGAAGAGGTCCGCCGTTATGGGAATCTGGTAAGTGGTGTAAGCATGAAGTGCGGCGCGGGAGAGGAGGTAGTCTGCGATCCCGTGTATAGCTCTAAGCACTTACTTGCGAACCGATACTCAAATGAACAAACCCGTCTTTTTGGTCGAGTTCCGAGAGGGGATACTCGGATGGGATTGGCGAAGGGGGTGCCGAAGGCACAATCTTGTACACGAATTCGGGTAGAGGTGATGGAGCCATTGCTAATATGATGAACTCTAGATGGTTCAGATGAGATGAGGCAAGAGTAAGACAATCCCCAACTAGGTACTTCCATATTGAGGTATATAATTGAGCTTACTGTGGGCTTTGACAGCTGTCATACTTCTTACCACCTGGCAATACTCGTGATTTGTTAAGCGCCTACTAGTAAAAAGGGGGGGTTAATAGCTGGAGAGTATATAATACTAATGTTAATATAATATACTAACTTAGGTACTCTTTCAAGAAATTCATATTACAAGCTATGGAGAATGGGAAAATTAAAACGCCATTGAAGTTGTCACTTGCTGTTTTAAGAGACTTATTAGTAAAGTTGGTGTCTCCTTCACCATATCTCGGAGTATAGAAGATATTACTATACGACGCGATAGATCCATCCAAAGTTGATTTATAACAGGAGACCAGATATACTCGTCGTATGGCTAGCAGAAGAACGGTGTTCTAGTAAAGTAAAAAAGCGACCCGTTTCTGTACAATGTACTTGAAGTATAACTTAAGTACTATCAGTGCCCATTCGCTTTCCAAGTTCTTATTGTTCTCCGGCAAACTGAACCCTTTTACTCTTACCCGGACGAAAGACTACTGTGGTGCAACCTTGGCATTCCTTAGATAGGTGTTAACTTCTTATGTTGATATGCACGTAGTTATCTTAGGTATGTAGGCTAGAATTAACTGTGCTCTTCGACCTGGTTTCGATTTATGGTATTAAGATAACACGGTCTCTTCGTTGAGTCCCGTCTTGGCTGCAGGTTTTGTATATTTATAAAAAGGGGGTTAGGATCTGGCAGTCCTACTCCGCGCAACTAAACCTCCCCCCTCAGTCTTTTCTCCAATGAAGAGCTCGAGATCTCGCGACACGGGAAATTAGCTAACTCTACGTTATATTATCATTTTCGCCTAGACAGAAGCGAAACCCTTGTGGATTATCTACGAGAAGGGTGTACCAACTACTCGTGGAGCGATACAGCATGTTTTCAAGTCTGTCCGTGGTGTAAGTGTTGACACGGCTTTTCATATGGGGTCATCCGAATTAACGTGGTGTTAGACGTAGGGGATATAGAGGTGGGAGTGAGGCCTTGTGGCGGTATTAGTAAAAGTGATTCATACTGCTGTGATGATGGGTCGACTGGCATTGGGTCGTTCACTTGTTGTAAGGACGAGTCTAATATATTCACATACGACAATGTTACTACACTACCGAGTATTCTTGCTACGATTCCCCTCAAAGACGTATCAGCTACTACAGTCGAATCGACGTCGTCTTCTACACTAGTCATTAGCACGAGCAGCGATATATCAACAGGGCTTCTGACAGTCGGAGCGACGAGTACCGAATTAACGCCAATACAACCTACGAATGGCAGCGTAGGTTCTACAGAGAGCGGGAGTTCATCTGCCAATGCCAACACATCGACCGCACTAGGTGCAGGTTTGGGCGTGGGGTTGCCTGTAGCTGCCGCTATCATTGGAGGGGTCTGGTTCATGATCTGGCGTTCTAAACGAAAGAATACAAGGGAGACGGAACAGGAAAAGGAACCGCAACAGAGCGTCCCGAGCGGTTTTATAGTTCCCGACGACAATACACCAAAACCAGCGACTACCCCCAGCCCTCTAGGGTTATACGGCGTAGCCAATACCCGTGAAACAAACGCCTATGAGTTACCATCGGGATACCATGGTAGGGAACTTCTTACTTAAACTGATAGGTGGAGGTAGTAGTTGGAATTAATCGTCATTTCAAATCACACTACTTCGTGAAGGTACCTATCCTTTTAGACCTGATACCTGTATGAGTGTGTTGACCCTGGAGTTTTGGAAAGATAATACTCTGGAAAGATAATACGACACAAATGAGTTACGGATCGACGAGGAATTGATTTTATTGGTATATATCGATGGACATGTACACGACTCGATAATCTAGTACGGACGAGTTGTTTTCAGGGGCTGTAAATACGTACACGAATTAGGTACTTAACGAAGTCATCACGTAGAGAGAGGGCAAGCGAGAAACGGAGATCCCTGTAATAAAAATGTAAGAGTGTTTGACAGAGACTGCCTACCTTTTAATGGCCAGTGTGAGTCAGAAGGAGCTGACTTTGCTATCGTGACATGTTGCTGCTTCCCGGTTTACTCTAAGAGGGGCACTCTAAGGTTACTGGCACAGTACCGTAGCGGCAGTGTATGGGTTCTAGGAATCATATTTCTCATTCTAACCTTTGTTATGGCTAATACGATAGTTTACGAAATAATCATTCTT